TCTAAATCGAAAGTTAAGAGAAATATCTGTGTGCTGTTTTTTTTTGGCTTTGAATTTTGGCAACATACCATTTAACATTACACTATATTACAAATACATTTTATTAAAGGCAAATGTAAAAATAATTTAGGATTTTCAAATCCTTAAGGCTGTTCGCACTGAATAACTCCAGTGTCTCACAGTGCAGGCAGACAAGCAAGAACCCTATGCTTGTGGGCCTATCTTCCTTTCAAACTTGAGGGTGTGCAAGTATTTTACATCAACAAAGTAATTCAGAACAGAAAGAATAAGGAAAACCTGTAGGCTAGTAATTCAACTGTGTGTGTAGTTTGGGGGGAAGGGAGGATACTTGTCAAAAGCCAAGGAGAATTCTCATCATCTTCAACATGTACTCATATCCAGAAACTAAACTGCTCTAAATCATAGCATCCTCACCCTTAAACTATTTCTTCAAAATCCAATATGCTGGAACAGGACTAACTATCCTTGAACTCAGTAAGTCTTACACTATCCATGGTCTAACTAAAATACAGCAGCTCAGAAAGAAAACAGTTATGTCCCTGCAGAGGCACAGTCTGCACTTTTCACTAGTTCAGTAGACTCTCTTGGAGTTTGTTTTTCAAAGTGTGTGAGGGTTCTTAGCTTTCAAGCACTGGCAAATAGGGGCTTCCCCCAAGGTGAAGGAATGACTAACGTGTGAATAGCCGAGATAGAATCTGCTCACCAAGATCTCATCCTCGCAAACTTCAACCTCACCTCACTTCTGCCTGCTTAGAGCAAGCAAATACCTGGTCACACCAGGCTTTGCGAAGGAAATTCACACTACACAACCACAAAGATCCTTCCTGTGACTCAGTAACTTCAAAAGAGGGGCACACGCCCACACTTTCCATCTGCCCACAGATGGCTGCGTTGGGAGTACCATGGAGGAAAGACAGAAATCTTAATTTGTATAAATCAAAATCCCTGTAAAACACGTCTGAGAAGTCTCCAGCAAACATGCATATTCACACGTAACGATTCATGTGCCACGTACACTGATGATAGCTAATAAGATCTGTCTAGCACCCAGGACTCATTATACACCTAAGTGCTTGCTCTTCATGAATTACCTTATTCAAGCACACAAAACCACCATGAGATGGTTACTATTGCCCTAGATATTGGACAGGTGAGAAAACTGAGGTCCAGAAACGTCACAGAACCTGCCCAACAGCACATAATGAACAGGTCGGTGGTCGAGCCAGAGGAAGACCACGTGCCCACCTCCAGTCCACACTCTTAACAGCGGGGTCACATACAAGCCCCTGTGACATGTCCCTAAGGACTAACACTGTCTTTATATTTTTCCTACCTGTTCCTCCACCTACCCAAAAACAAAATACACACACAGTTAATACTGCTATATATTTGAGCAGTCAATTCAAATGACCATTTTTTAGATCAAGCATTCTAGATCTTCCACTTACTCACACCTATAAAAATACACGATCACCAACTTCTTTGTACAACACTTTCCTTTCCATCAGCCAAAGAAGTAACCCCCATTCCAGAGTTTGTCGCAGTCAGTCCACACCTGACTGACAAAACGTGTCCATTCTGGTTTTGGAAAATACTCAGAAACTTCTTGCGGGAAACACAAATTTTACAATAACTGAATGTAATGGGACTGGGAGTATAGGGTGGGGAGAGGGGAGGGGTGGGGTGGGGGGGAGACAGGGGGAGTTAAGCATGGCTGATTGAAGGCTGTACGTCTTCATAACGTTTCCATTCTGAACAGTGAAAACTACATTAATGTATAATTCTTTAAAAACATTTTAAACTCATCTGGGCCGGCCGAGTGGCTCAGCTGGTTAAGAGCTCGCTTGGGAGCACCAGCTCTGAGCAGGAGGCCCTTGGTTCGGATCCCACATTGAGGGCCAGTGACACTGCCCTCTACAGCTAAGATGATGAACAACAGCTTGACCTGGAACTGGGATGCTGTGAGTTGCCGGAGACCGTGTAGGCTGCAGCAGGGCTGCAGTGGGCTGCCGTGAGCTATGTGAGTGGCTGGCAGCCAGCGTGAGCAGCTGGTAGCTAATGTGAGCTACCGGGAGCCGCTGTGAATGACCAGCGACCGATTGCCTCAACCTGGAAGAGCGCAATGATCATACCAACATGGGCCAGTGAAGCGATGTCCTCCACAACTGACTGAAGAACAAAAAACAGCAATTTGTCTACCTGTCTGTTCCCCTCCCCCCAATAACCCAATAAAAAATCTTTAAATATAAATATATATATATATATATATATATATATATATATATATATATTTTTTTTTAAACCTCATCTACCACAATGATCAAAAGGAAAGGAAACTGAACACCTAGGGAACACCGACCAACGCCAAGTCCTTCATATCTTCATTGGCTGGTCTGTGCTGTCCATCAAATAGGCAAAGAGTTTCTAGAGAGAGTGTGGCTTTTTCTTTTGCAAAGAGTGAATTCAGATGATGACCTTTTAATGGCTAAGTAAAAAGATACCTTTTATTTTTGCCTCAATAAAGAAAAATAAATCCTATAGACTCTGGATTCTACTGCTTTCTACGTGCCTAGAAGATCCCCAACTTCGTTTAAAACCAATGCACCAAGCACTTACATCGAAACATAGCTTAGGGGGCTTCCTGTATTAAAATAATACTTTGTAAACACACGGGACATTCTGACTAAAGACTTAAGAAACACGTCACAAGCATCATCAGAAAATGGAATTGCTTCAATTTGCAGGTTGGACACTCATTGCCAGGTTGAACTAAGGCTGGCATAGTCTACACCTCAGACTTTCATTTTTTTAGAGAAATCAAACATAAATTCCTTATTTCTTTCCCCCTCCCCACCAAGACAAAAGACATATTAACTGGTGACCCTAAAAACGTGTACTTAGAGTAATTAACTGCACAAGCATAGCCAGCAATTCGTACCATTCCCAAAATGTACAGAATGCTTTGTCTAAGCAAATATACTAACTACACTACCTGTCTGTAGACTACACAGCCTTCCATCTGTAATCCAGGCCACCAAAGACCAGCCCTAAATCCAGCCGAACCTGTCAATCCTTAAACTACATTATGGCCCTGAGAGATTTCACTAGTAGGGCATGATCATAACCAAATAAGGCTGTTATGAGTCTTTGATTCAGGAAGACAAGATCCTTGGCATACTAATAATTAGAGTGGATTAGCAATGGTGAAATTCTCCCTTAAGTTCACCCTGACCCAAACTTCCCAAAGTCCGGAAGAACTACAGTTAAATGAGTGCTGTGCACACAGCTGTCACACAACACCAATATACCATGCAAAGAGGAAGCCAGCAGCACTGTCATGTGAGAAAGGCACTAGCAGCCAGGGACCAAGGGCCACCCTCCAAGAGAATGAAGCCTGCTGATCTCTGTCACCACACTCCCATGCAGGCTGGCTCTTACCAGAGGTGAGGGTGACAGGCAGCAACAAAACACAGCTCAAGGACTGGGTGCTGTTACTGCCAACCACACACACAGAATTTTGCAGCTCCAACAAAAATGAAACATGATGCCAGACGCATAACCACCCACCCATGTTTGGAAGCATGGATAATATTATTGCACATTCCAATATATTTACTGATGGGCTTTTTTTTAACACATCCTAAACTCCCCTGATGCAGTCCTCAAACTGGGGCAGAGTGAATATTTGTTACAGAGTATCTGAAACATAATAGGCTTGTCACTGAGACACTCACCCAAGTGTCTTTAGAAAGAGTAGCATACAAAGCCCAGTACACTGGCACAGACACTTCGTACATATGCTTGCTAACTGTGCTAACAACAAATCTAATGACATCCAAGACAGTGCTGAGGATTAAGAGAAAATGGAGATGGAAGTTAATACAGACTCTGAATCACGGGGCTTTTTAAACAAAGACACGGCATGATGGAAGAAAATAAATTAAGACTTTGAGCGATGCATCTCAAATATCAGATCCACAGCACAGATCTATTAAAGAGGTCAAATATCTCCACGTGGCTGACTTTGTCCTTCCCTCTTAATTTTTCACCATACTCAGTTCTTCTTTAGATATACACATCTAGTTTCTGAAAAGTAACCATAATTCTGTAGAAAGAGTAAACAAAGTAGACCAGACCAGGGTAGTTTTTTCCTTTCCCCAACCTCTCAAACTAACAGAGTCTAAGAAAATGTCATTAATCTAGTCATCCAGGAAAACATCAAGTACGAGAACGGAAAAGGAACAAAATTAAATATAAATTCTAAATGGGGGTGGGTAGGGGGGCGGAGATGGGAGATGACCCATGAGATATGAAATGAGGCAGATAACTAGCAAAGGGTTCTGAAAACATCCAATTAAAAGCATTATTATATAATGTCACTGCCACTGTTTGATCGTGAAGCCACAAACTCTTATCAAACTACCATAGCCAACTTCCTCATCAAACTAACTTAAGTTTATTTAGGGAAGTTATTAAAAAGAAAACCTGCTGGCAAATTTAAAATTTTAAGAGCTGATTCCACAACTACTAATCTAGTTAAACACCAAATGGATTTTGCTTTAATGAGGGGGAAATAATTTGTAGAAACACCACATTTAATTCTTCAAATCTGTAGAAACAGTTTTCTCTTCAAGAATAGCAAAATACTATCTAATATACTCAAGAAATACTGATGAAAATCAATTAAATAAAATGAACGGTGAAGACAGGAATTACAAGTCGGTGACTGGCCAATTTTTATGGCAGCAACATGTTTTGTTTGCGCCATACCAGTTTTTGTGTATTTGTTTTTAATTGTAATTAGGGGACAGTGTTTAGAAACCAGAACATCTCACAAACAAATTCAGAATTCTGGCTTCCCTACGGCAAATCCGGAGACTGGGTAAATGGGCTCCAGTTTGTTCCCATGTGGCAAAAACTGGCACCTAGTTTGCAGTCCCTGGTTTAGGGCACCAATGCTGTCAGCCTTGAGTACTAACCTTTTCCTCGACGGCCCTTCTTCAAAATCTGAAGAACTAACATCGTTGCTAGTAGAAGACACTTGGGATGCATCATCCTTCTCATTCTCTGACTGTTCTGATGCTGGTCCTAATCCCTTAGACTGGCCATTACCAAGGAGCCCTACAGGTGAGAAAAGGGGACAAACACTTAAATATATGACATCAGGAAGCAGCACTTTACCATAGTTAACCCTACACAACGGCTTGACTCGTGAAGACAGACGAGATTTCAGATAGAAAAGAATTAAAAGGCACATATCCCTTGTGAACGGGGGCAAAGGCACACCTCGTCTGCTTTGGCCCTTTGACAAGAATGAAATGCCTACCTAACAAGGAAACAATTTCAACAGCAAGCAATTCAAGCAGAAAATTGTCATCATAATCATATAGTGATTCTTTTTTGAAGTACATAAACACCTTTTATGGCTGGGGAGCGGAAAAGGAAGCAAGGCATCTCAAGTATTACCAATTTAAACTAGTTATCCTTTGAGGCTAAATATTTACTCTAGAAATAATGAAATCCTTTTGGTATTGCCTTCAGGAACCAGGACCTCCCACCCAAGAAAAAAAGCATCATTACTTTAGAGCCGTATCCTAGTTGCTAACTAGAAATCCTACTACCCAACTTTCTCTGCATAACAATCCACTATATTAGACAGTCACCATATTTGCCTTTGATTGTCGCAAAGGAAAAGGGTGGCACCATGCCGGACAGGGAAGCTTGGAGCCCGAAGATGTGTAACCACATTGGAGGAACTTCCTAGCGAACAGCTATGCCAGGTGATATGCAAGTATTTTAACAAGCACTAAGGCCACACTCATAGGTGACAGCTGAATAAAAGCCTGGGCCGTCTTCTAGCACTCAGATGTCCTAGCATCTAGGGTTCTGGATACGACTTAGGTTCCAGCTATGGGGAGGCTGGTACCAACCCAAGTGTCCACAGCGACTGGCCGCCAATTTCACTGTCTAGTCACCAGCCTCGTGGGCATCAGCAGGAATGCCAGCACGCTATCTGTATTTTCACAGCCAAAGTGTTGGGCTTTTAAATGAAGCCAAAAGTGCACAGTGACCCCTTGGTTTTTTTTTTTCCGACCCTTCCACCAATTTTGTAAGCACTGAACTCCCAGTATTAAATCCCTTTTTGGCTGAAAAACTTAATGGTGGTTCCTATCAATTATACTGAACACTATATAGAACACAGTATTCTGTATATTTGGTAAATTTGTCTGAAAGACCATAGTACACTGCAACAAAACCACGGCACGTGGTCTGTTTATGCATGCATTTCCGCAGTTATTTATTTTTACATCATTTCAGAGGGTGTGTAGTAACTTAAGGTTGGAAATCTAATACAGTGCGGTAAATACAATCCCATGGCTGTCACGGAGACATGTGGCTTTGGGAGTCATGACTACAATATGGAAATGAAAATATATACAACTTCCCAAGAAAGAGAAAGTGGGAAGAGTTTGCACTGCAAGGCCAACAGGAGACATAATTGTATGGAAATCTGAGAGTCTAAGGGTAGAACTATGGCCAACATTTCAAAGATTAGAGCTGTGCTGCCCCATGGCAGTCGTCACTAGTCACGTGTAGCTATTGAGCATTTGAAATATGGCTAGTATGGATAAGGAAATAAACTTTTATTTAATTTTAGTTAATTTAAAACTGAATGTAACTAGTATTTCATTAATGATTTTATATTGGTTAATTTCTTGAAATATTTTGGATGTATTATTAGGTTAAGTCAAATATATTACAATTAATCTTACCTCTTTTTTTATTATATATTTTAAGGGCAGCTCTAGAAAACTAAAACACTACATGTGGGTTGAAATTATGTTTTTATCAGCACTAAATTGGAGCACTTCAGTAATGTCACACGGAAGGGGGGTGGGGGGCGCGGCGAGGCCCAGACCACCCAAACAGTAGGAAGGTACAGATAATACTTAGCTGAGATTAGGAAACTGGCCCAGTGACATAATATGTCATAGTTGTAAACAGAGGAAAAGACAGATGTATTATCACACTTGAAAAAGATGGAAAACTCAAAATAAAAATAGGATTACAGAACCATATGTAAAATTAGTAAGAAAAAAGCAAATATGCATCTTAAATATAAGTGTACTCTTGGTCGGGTTCACATTTTACTACCATAATACATAAAGGAGAATAAACGAGGAAAGGAGGGAGGGAATATGAACTCATCCATTCATTTTCTTAACACCTACCATACGCCAGGGAACTTTGGATACGGGGTACATCAAACAAAATCTAAATTCCAGTGAGAGGAGACAGATCAACAACAAACACACAAGGGAGTATCAGTTAGTAGTACGTGCAAAGAAGAAAGTTCGAGCTTTTCAGGGCAAGGAAAAGTGCTAAGGGCAGGCAGTGAATATGAATCAATTGGAGCCAGCCAGCAAGCATGCAATACCAACACAAGAACAGCAAAGTTATAATTTGCAATATGCTTAAAAACAAAGTACAAAAACCAGTGATGATGGTGGTGAAGGAGGAGGGGGAGGAGGTTGTTTTGAAAGTATATTTGGATCAAGGAGGAAGTAAGGAAGGACTAGATGCTGCCAGGTGAAGGTGGGAAAGAAATGCTGCTGTCCCCTTTGGTGCATAACAAGATCTTAAGTATCCGCTGAGTGAGTAAGCAGCCAGTGATGACTGAGTGAGTGAGTGGGTGGGTGGGTGGATGATTTAGCAGAGAAAACTTAAGCTATTCAATGACAGCTATACTCTTGTCCTTCTATCAAGAATCATCTCAGTAGATTGTAAACAGTAATGATCCTCCAACTTGAGCATGCATCAAAATCACCAGGAGGGCTTGTTCAAACATAGTCCCCTAGGCCTCAACCCCAATGTGTCCTATTTTAAGTGCCAGGTGATGTTGATGCTGCTCCGGCTGGTCCCGGACCCACATTCTCAGAACCACTACTGCAGAGAAGAGCAAGGTTCAAACCAGTAAGAGACCTAGTTGCTCTAAGACACATATAAAGCTCTGGGTAAGTGTGAATGAGATCCCAGGAACCAATTATGATTTCACAAAGGATCACAATACAAATTCACAGTCAAGCACCCAGTCCCACTTTCGTGGGGCATTCTCCCACCTTCCATCAACAATTTTGTGAAGCGAAAGAAGGTTGCTTGCGTAGCTTATCACAACGTTGCAAGAGTCAGCTAATGACAAACACAGACTTTAAAAAAGTTAACATGCTGGGGGTAAGTGTTCCTATCTAAGAGGCATCAATGTAAAAAGGCATACAATGTTTCTTCCCTCCAAAAAAAAAAATCAACTGTCCAAGCACAAATGCAGGGAAGCTGGGTTATGAAATTTTAGATGAAAAACGGGGAATTTAATGGACTGGATTGTATATGTGAGCTCACTGCGAGGCGAAACGGATGAGCACACTCTGAAACACTAAGGCACGGCTGAGCTAGCGACCCTGAAGAGAGTAAGAGTAGAGGGTCCATTGTCCAAAGCCCTCACCAGACTCATCTCTTCGAAGAGCTCCAAAATTTCCCCCATTCCAAGGATGAACAATGACCGATTTCCTCAACTAGAAAAGAGGTGGCTAGCAGACTGACTTTCCTTCCAGATTACGAAAATGAGGCCCCTACACAGGGAACTGAATGCCTGTTATGCAAATTAAAGGACGTCAGCTTTTCATTGCCTTCCTAAGGGGCTGACTTGTTCTGCATATGATCGACTTTTTTCAATTTGAGTACTCGCATCCTGTAGATATCAGCACAAAGAAAATTTACATTTATTTTTAGTTAGACAATCTACACGGTTGGATAAAGCTGGGCTTTTTCTTTTCTACACACCTCCACACACACCCCCCTTTCCACATCTCCAGTGTACTGGCTACCCCCTTTCATTTTGAATGTTTTCATCCGAATTGTACCGCCTGCCCAATCCAGACGAGCCAGGTCAGCAAGATGGAATGTGATGCCACCGGGCAGAGCAGCCATTATTATAACATTAGATGAGTTCATGGGTGCTGCCTTTTCCTTCCTCTAACAAAGCCCTGCCACCAATTTTTAAATTATTTTTTAGTCTATGAGAAATCATGAAATGGCATCTCCTCCTTCAAACACAAACTGATTTTCTTTTTCTAAGCCCTTCCCCCAGCCTCCACAAACCTTTGCTGGGGAGAGGAGGTTAAACAGAGGAAATGGAATGGCCCAAAGATTCGGTCTACCCACATTAGCATTTGTTCTCCTCTATTAATATTCAGTAGGCTGAACTTAAATTAAACCATGTCTATTGTCTTTCACAAAAGCAATAAATATGGGCTGAAAATTCCAAATCACCGCAGTAAAGGCAGCCTTGGGACTGCCTGAAACCTCAGCTAGTCACCATCAGCTGACAGGAGCTGCATGTCACAGGCCCAGACCACTCAGCCACCACAATGGCAGGCCCATTCTCACAGCTGAGAACCCCAAAGAAATCAAATACACCAGAACCCTGCCATCCAATTCAGGAGCTTTTCATCCCATCTCCCAAATTAGCAAGAAAAGCAGAGGCTTTTAAGGCTACTGCCACCCAAACCGGCTTCTTTCTAAGCCTGGAATAGCAGCAGCAAAGGCGAGGAAGAATTCCTGTTCTGGAGGCTGGGATAGAGGACCTTCCCCCTCTTGCCTTAACGTGAAGGGGGCTGGGAAAATGGAAACATAAACGAGGCCGAAGATTCCTTTAGCTGAAGGAACTTCAACTGAGCAACTGCTGAGAGCTACAGATTTCAGAACATAAACGTATATAGAGAAGGCAATTCTTTACTAGTATCTGCATGAAAGGACTAGAATGTACAGTCCTTCTAATTTTATGTTTTAGACACAAAGAAGTTGCACCAGTCCCCCCCATCAGCTAGCTACGCATACGTGACTGGATACAAAACCAAAGGGAAAACTAATGCCTCTCAGTCGCTAAAGCAATGCTTAAAGAAGGGTTAAAGAGAAAGGAAACACAAGGAGACCTTGAAGCTGTTCCTGGGCTTCCAAAACATCTGGAGCACACCAAGCGTATTAGCATATTAGGTAGAGTCAAAGGATTTGGCTTTGTTGTAGAAGAGATGCACAAAAGGTAATTCTGTATTACAGAGCCAATG